GCCTCTGGGACGCCTAAAGCTAAAAAGGCACGAAAAACAATCACAATGGACGTGAAATTAAATGTGATCACCGGCCTTCAGAGAGGAGTATGTGTGTGTTGGCCGCATGCTTGGTTTAAGTGAGAGCACTGTTCGTACCCTGTGTGGTATATGATGGTTCCCTTAACCTGTACCATTTACATGTATTCTTATGGGAAATTTATGTTTAATTTAAGAAGTTTTTAATTAAGCGGTGGTTTTCAAGAACGTGACCCCCGCGTAAAACGAGAGGTGGGTGTACTCTAAACATAAATACTTTGACACTAATATACAAACACAAAAAGACCAAGTTAGGGACTTAATTACAGGTACTCCACCGATTTTCCGGCAACGGATGGTCCGGCACCTCTTTTAACCAGGACAAAATTCCCTTGACCTCCAGATTAGTTTACTGGGCTGCCCACAGATGGCATTACGTGTTAACCGCGCTCGCTTTGTTTATTCTGCAGTTGCTGGTGGTAGCTTCTTGATTTTGTGTAATTCTCAGCTTGTTTTGGACATATTTAACCCCAGCTATGGCTTCAAAGGCAAGTACAAGTGTCAGTGGTGGTGTAAAGCGTAAACACCAGTCCACATCGATACAAGATAAGGTGGAACTCTTGAGAAAACTCGACCGTAGTGTTTCGGTGTGACGGGTGTGTGATCAGTATGGTATTGGTTCGTCAACTGTGTGTGATATAAAGAAGCAAAGAGAAAAAGTAACGAGATTCTATGCAGAAAGTGATTCCAAGAAGCAAGTGTGCATTAGAAAAACATTGAAAGACAGTAAGAGTACTGAACATGATAGAGTGATGAGTTTCTAGCAGCCATGGTGCTTTAAAAATACCGGGGGGAAGGGGTGTATACCAAGTGGTTCAAAGGTGTATTGCTTAATTATTATATATGACCTCTGTTAATCCGGCAAAACGGATGGTCCGGAAAGGCTCAGGAACCAAAGGTGCCGGAAAATTGGTGGTGTACCTGTATTACTAGTGTAGAGGATAAAGAACAAGATACAGTAAACTAAAGCAATAAATGAGACAACTCCAACAATCAGTGCAGGAAGTATTAAATAACTTACAAGAAATAGTTACACAGTGATAATGTGGCACCTGGGGCTGACTAACATAACATGTCACGAGAACAATTGCAAATAAACAAACACAATGACAATCGCATTATAAAGAACCTGAGGTGGAGGAGGGAAGGAGAGACAGTGAGAAATATGGGACTTTATACTGTATAGGAGTTGCACATCACAAGTGTAGCTTTAAGTAATACTAGTAACCCCGAGAGAACAAAATCCTGAATGAAACAAGAATGACACCAGTCTAGTTAATAAGACTGGACTTAAATGCATAGGTGGATACAGAACAGGCAGACATCCTGGGGTTGAGAAGATGTGTTTACCAGGTTATCACTCACCATCCAGAAAGGACAGGTGGTGGTGTACTACTGTGTCATGGAGCACCTGACAATAACCAGTAATGATGAGCGAATGAAACTAAATCGTCCAAATTTACTTTGGTGTGAACTAATAGCAGAGAACAAAAAGCAAGGTGACAGTAGGTGTGTGTTATAAGGCTGACTCAACCTCACAGGGAGAAGTGGCAGACTCCAATGTCATCCAGAACAGACAGTAGACTGGGTGACTCTTACCATACAAGCTGAGGAGCAAACCTTGACCTTCAAGACACAACACATGAAGGAACCTACTAGAGAAAAAACATTATGGATATACTCTTGACAACATAGGTAGCAATGGTGGACAAAGTCCACATCAGGGAAAAATTAACTCTGGCCAACAACCACCTGACCCTTGCTTTATGTCAACTCACTATATGCACAAATTCTTGAGAAAATTCTGAGGGACACAATCTTCCAACACCTAACCGAGTAGTCTGATCAATGTATCACACGGTTCCATAGAGAATATCCTGTTTGACACACTTATTCAATTTCCTTGAAATGGTAACACATTACATGGACCAAGGTCTACCAGTGGATGAGTAGTACAGTCACTGTCAAAATTTTGATACCCGTGGTGAAACGGAGTCTCTGAACTGACTTATCCTGACTGTTTTCTGATGCAAGTGTGCTGTTTTATCTTATTTGGGGTCAAGCAAACCTTTGATCTCGGGCGTAATACGTGGACTTATCTAGGGCACTTGACAAAGTCCCACATTCACAGGTAGTCTCTAAAATCCAGCCACATAGAATCATAGGCCAAATTTTGAAGTGCATTAACAACAGGTTCAATGACAAGACACAAAGGGTGGTCATAAATGGAGTACATTCAGAATGGAAAACATTTCTCAGTAGTATAGCACAAAGTTTTATTCTTGAATCCAACCTGTTGAGATCTACATAAATGACAGATGAAATTATATCAAGACATATTGTTAGGTTTGTGGATGACATGAAGATATTTGGGAAGATTGCAAGTCAAGACGATGTTGCAACCATGCAAAAAGATCTGCACAAGCTGTTCAAATGGTCTTTAGACTAGCAAAAGACCTTTAACAACACAAAATGCAAGACTCTGCATGTAGGATGCAACAACCTAAATCACCACCATTCTGTTAGTAACACTTTCCTGGATACTGTCGATAAGGAGAAAGATATTGGTGTTGTCATAGATCAGTCACTGATGGAGGCAGAACAAGTGGAGGCAATAGTGACAAAAAAAAAAAATCAAGATTTGGGAATTATAAAGCATAGCCTTCAAATACAAAGATATGAAAATGCTCCTTTAACTGTACAGATCTCAAGTATGTCCCAGTCTGGATTACTGAATACAGGGCATGTAAACACTACCTTCAAAAAGACCCAACATCATTAGAAAAGGTGCAACATGGTGACTAAAATAATTCCTGAACTATGTCATCTCGGTTATCCAAATAAACTGAGGGCCTGAGGACTAACAACCCTTCACTCTTGTAATATTCCATTAAGCTTCTAATAAATCACATCCAATGGATGCCCCTTTCAACTGGAATTTGAAGAACTGTTGACAGTCATAATTATAGGCATCAGTTCTAATAAGTATAATTCAAAATTTTACAACCAAACATGCCACTTCAGTACTATATATATATATATATATATATATATATATATATATATATATATATATATATATATATATATATATATATATATATATATATATACTCAATTGAAATTACACTAACACAAAATAAAAACAACAAAAGGTGGAAGGCAAAACATTGAACATAATCTGTGTCTCGACTATCAAACTTATTCGCCAACTTTCACCTGTCTGTACATCGTAAATTAGTAGGTTATTTAGTTATGTTAAGCATCATACATTAATAGTGCATAGCTTGATATTATGGTGTCAATAACAGACCTAAATTATGGCAAATCCATGAAAATATGCCAGTCAGCTGCTCGCCGGGTGGACCCATCCTTGTGTTTACTATTGTTTCTCATGGGCTACAACTAGAAGTCAGCCCCACTCCCTGTTATAACTAGGGGTTGATTTGAGTCATTTGAGTGTGCAACGTAGTTCTAATTTATCAACTTGAATTTCATATGCAATAATAAGTAAAAAACATAGGAATAATATACCGTTGCATTTATAAGCTATGGGCAGCCTCACCTTAAATTAATTCGGTCCGGTGACTCCTTACTAGCAAACATGACAGGTGGCATCCAGGTACCATGGCCTCTTGTGCAAGACTTACCAATGACCACCACTGGACCTGTAGGAAGACCAGATAGTCATAACTGATAGCTATTAAGTATGAGTGTGTAGTGGTGGTAACACACATGCTCATTGCTCAACTACAGTAGATGCACTCATTTTTGTGGTAGACTGGAAATAAAGTCAGTTAGAAAATCTTTTGAAAAAGATTCTCTTGCTGTTATCTCCTAACAGTTACAGTATATGTCTATGTTAAGGCAAAGTCTCATTATATTATTATTTTCGTGAATCTTAAGTCTAGTATTGATGAATTTTGATCCTAACAAACATGCGATTCGAAACCATCATGCCTGGGGCTTGTTTACTACTGGTTGGCTGGTGGTCTTGTCAACAAAACCGTATAACGTAAGGCATTGTGAGCAGGTGCTTTGTACTGTGAAGGATAACACACTGCTGACACCGAATATCCTGTAGCAGGAAATTCATACTGAAGATCTCACGCCCGACAGATAATAACTCCTAAAAGTTGATAGTGTCTCCATATTGGACTACTATTACATGTACTCTTTCATCCACTACTATTGCATGTTCCACTCTTGCGTCTCATTACATAGGCCAACCAATATTTCACTTCCCATTTTTTTGATACACCCATACTACCCGAGTAGACCCTGATCCACTATGCCTAACATTTTCACTTCTTATTTCTCTAAGTATATAAGTAAGCTGCATTGTTGGGCAGATAGTCATATCCTGTAGACAGGTGACGTCATCGAGTATTGATAACGTGTTGCCAGTCATGATCTAAGATAGCAGAACTGATAACACGATATAGTGATGAATGAATCCTAAAATAACAAGAGCTCCACCTGAAGATAGTTTTCTTTCTCACAAGGTTATTAAACATTATATATGACAAACCACAATTTAATGTCATTTAGTACATAGACACTTATGAGTTGAAGCGACCATTGTAGCCAGTCTGGAGACGCATCCACGATGTTGCTGTAAAGTCTGTAATGAGTTGTTTCATAGTAGGTAGAAAGTGTCCATATCTTGTTAAGGTAGTCTGCGTTATTTTCTCCTAACTGAAGTTAAAGTGTACGTATCGAGTTAATGTACATGTGTACGTGTGAATGTGGTGGTTTGTTTGTGTGTGACTAGTACCTACCAGTATTCTTCAAGTCACGTTTTCTTTCATCAATATCTCCTTAGCTTCGTCTATCGTCATCAATATGCGTCAAATATACCATAAAGATTATCAATGTCATATAAAATCATCAGTAATAAGAGGGTTAAATAAAGGTAGATATATTAAGTATTGTATATTCAAAATATAAAAAAAAAGAGTAATGTACAGGTCATTCATCACATAAATATTATTATAGCTAGTTTTGGGGAAGCAGGTGTGTGTACATACCTGTTACCACTAGGGAGGACGTTTACATAACATCACTAGGGAGACAGATGTGTACATAATCTCACCATGAGGGAGGCACATGTGTACATAGCATCACTAGGGAGGCAGATGTGTACATAACATCACTAGGGAGGCAGATGTGTACAAAACATCACCACTAGGGAGGCAGATGTGTACATAACATCACCATTAGGGAGGCAGATGTGTACATATCCCCACTAGGGAGGCAGATGTGTACATAACATCACCATAAGGAGCCAGATGTGTACATATCCCCACTAGGGAGGCAGATGTGTACATAACATCACCATAGGGAGCCAGATGTACACATAACATCACTAGGAACTCTTTCCTTCCTGTATGATGTAGTTCACCACACAAGCAAGGAAACTTTTTAATAATATAACAGATAATAGGTTTAGGGATGAGCTTATTAAAGTAGCTGAGTTAAGTACTAAGTTTACAAAATGATTTCTTCAGCTCTGAAGAACCACTTCAGAGGTTCAAATATCAGGATAATACTGTGTTTGTGTTTAAACGTTTAGTGTCTGTGTGCACAAATAGCGGTCATGTCAAAGATAGACTTTTATATTGATATGTAGGCAATATAAAAATTAAATGATGTGACCATAGACAATATCAACGTTGCTTTTATATATACACACAGGCATTCGCATGGATACGAGAACAGTATATTGCCACACCCTGGACTGAAGTAAAACATATCTAATTATTAACATTTTTGACTCCCCAAATTTATCAGCACCTTTGGGAAATGGTTGAGAGTAACTACAGTCTATACACTAACTTAGTTTATATTTGGCCCGTAATTGTTTGGTTGCCAGGAAGGACAGTGTGCAAGAGGTGTGGGCTGCCCCAGCTACAAGTGCATGGGCGGCGCCTGAGGGAACATACCGTGACCACCGTTCATCATGGGCATCATCATAGCCATGCGATTTTGTTGCATGTTCCCTTGCCAAGGTCCACCTATACCACCGGGCCCATTCATACATCCTGGCCCATTCATACCACCCCGTCCATTCATACCACCTGGCCCATTCATACCACCTGGTCCATTCATACCACCTGGCCCATTCATACCACCTGATCCATTCATACCACCTGCTCCATTCATACAACCTGGTCCATTCATACCACCTGGCCCAGGACCGTACATATTATTACCACCCCCCATAAAGCCCTGGTCATTAACATTCCCCATCCTTCCCGCGGGATTCATGGGGCCGTTACTCATCCCCATCCCAAGTGGGCCATTCATCATCCGTGGGTCCTGACGGTTCATGCCGCCGCCGTTCCCGAAATTCTGGAAGTTGTTGTGCATCATGTTCCTCGGGCCGGGCATACCATTACCCATTCCCATAAAGCTGCGTTGGTTGTTGACCAGTATCTGTTCACGAAGGTCAGGACAGTTGCCCATTCTTGGGTCTCTGGCATCATTGAAGGAATGGGTGATTCTAGGGTCCATATTGTTTATACACAAGTCTGTATGATCAGACATCGTCCTCCTGGAGTCAGTCATGGCGATCCTGGGGTCTAGTTGCGTACTAGTGTTGATTACTTGTGTCCTCGTGTCTCCTTTATTATCAAGGGGTTCCGGTCTGCTTGTTCTAACTGTTCTTGGGTCTGGCTGAGAAGTTTTTAGATCTGTTGCAAGTTTTTGGTCTGCTGTAGCACCCCTGGGGTCTCGGGTTGGTCGCAGAAGGTCACCAGTTCTCATGTCTACGTCGCCTGTAGTCTTAAATCCTTTATTCAACAACTGGCGAAGATCAACATCAGAGTTGCATATTTGTGTAAGATCTGTGGGCGTTGAGCGGTTGGATGAGGGAGGAGACGGCGGCGAAGGTTCCCGCTGGTTAGACAGAGGTGGAGTTATGCGATGTGAGAAGGGAGTTGAGGCAGAGGAAGTGGAAGACGGTCTTGATGGAGGGTTGGAGTTGGAAGCGGTGTTGTCATCTTCTACGGGAGTTAGGCTGTTGATGAAATCAGTGTGGATGTGCGGCGCCAGTAGGCGAGTTAAGTGTTCCCTGATGCCGTCTACGTCACCGCTGCCATGACCAAGCTTCGTGAGTAAATCCTCCGGGGGAGAGTCTGGCACGCTGTCTAGACAAGACAACACCAGCTCCACCACATGAGGGTGATCCAGCCGCTCGTATAGTGCTCGCTCCTTCTCTGAAAAACGCTCTGTGGACAATTCTGGCTTCTTCTTTGTGCTTGTTATCAAACTCTTCAAAAACTCAAAGTTTGAATTAACTTCCTTAACTTTCTTATGTTTAACAACTTTTCTTTCTTCAGGTGTGGACCTGCCCGATGCTGGTGGTGTATTAGGCTTGCTGGACGGGTCTTGGCTGACAGACGCTCGTGGGTCGAGAGGAGGACTGAGTCGTGGGTCCGCCCGCTGAACTGTTCGCGGGTCTCTGGGTTCAACACTGACTCTCCGGTCCCATGACTCACCATGTGCTTCTCTGGGGTCGCGGGGGACACGTGGTTCTCTGGGGTCGCGTGCCTCGCGAGGATCTCTTGGTGGTGTTGTTCGGCTTTCCTGGACATCTTCACCCTCGTGTTTGGGTCGTTTGGTGGGCGGAGTGTTACGGCCGGTGATGGAGTCTTCACTTTGTGCCATCTGAGATGGTCTCTTGCGGCTTTCCTGTGGCGGGGCCCACTGGGAAAGCATGCGACGCGGGACGCCCACAGTCACCATCATGTCAATCAGCTGACGACGCAGAGCAGTGGAGTCAGCTCGTCTTAACAAACGGAAGAGGTTCCTTTGTAGTATCTTGTGAAGTGACCGCACGTTGTGGTCGAACAGTGTAGGAGGCGGTGACGCAATCTGTTTTTCTATGAGATTGGTGACAGGTCCCCATAGGTCAGGCTTGTAACAGGCGACGGTGATGAGGGCTCGCACCGCCACGATGAAGGCTGAGCCCCCGACGTAGGGCGTGGTTACCAATCCTTTGAGTGCCGCTATTCCCTTGGCAACCATCTTGGGGCTCTGAGCAGCAAGACCTGAGAAGCGGTTCACGTCACTCAACAGGTGGGCAACCAGCGCCGCCTCCAGGAAGCGAACAATGTGTATGATCAAACCCTCGTTCTCGGCTGTGGTCAGCATGTGTATGAGGTGTTCTGCTACACTCTTGACCGCTGGCCAGGCACCATTAAAGGTAACCTCGTCCAGGTCGCCTGAGGTTAATAGCTGCAGGGCGTGGCGGTACACGTTAGCAAACACCCGTATAGTGCGCTTCACCACCGCCTGGTCAGGGTCAGCCAGTAGGTCTCGTAACCCTGACACTAGGTCCGGCGCACTTAACATGGCCGCATATTCCATCACGCACCCTGAAAATACAAAAAAAAAAATACAATTAGTACCTAAGATACACTATTACAGTATTATTATATCACAGTACAGTACTTATATTATCTCAGAATATAGTCATCTCTTTATAATGTGTTCAATACAATCCAGTAAGACAAGAGGCAGGAACTCAGGACTATTAAGAGTGCAGTATCTCCCCAGTGTGTTCAACGGAATATACAATGACCACTATACTGACAGTGTGAAAGTTATACCAAGAGGTAGAGCGTCACACAACTAACACTATACATTTGTGAAGGACAAGAGAAACTCATTTCACAGTACTGCATGACCTTTCAAGAACATAGTTTATCCTATAATAAAAAAATAGCCAAGAGTGATGGATGTATATTACGCCCATACACTACTTCCTACAATATATTACGCCCATATACAGCCTCCTACAATAATATATTACGCCCATACACAACCTCCTACAATAATATATTACGCCCATACACTACTTCCTACAATATATTACGACCATATACAGCCTCCTACAATAATATATTACGCCCATACACAACCTCCTACAATAATATATTACGCCCATACACTACTTCCTACAATATATTACGCCCATATACAGCCTCCTACAATAATATATTACGCCCATACACAACCTCCTACAACAATATATTACGCCCGTACACTACCTCCTACAACAATATATTTCTCGTGTTGACTAAAGTTATCAGCCACACCCTGTACAGTATGTTTAACCCCCTTTACTAGGAGACGCTACTTTTATTATTTAATTTGGCTAAGGGCGTATGATACTATTCTAGAGAGGCCCCAGAGAGTAAAGGTTCCTTAAGCTGTCTTGTGCGTGTGTATGAAGAAGTTAGAACATATCGAAGTAACTTAGAACTAAAGTAAAAAAAAATAATAGTAATATGGGAGTAAAGAGACTCTCCACCATAGCTAGGTATTCTCCACCCGAGCTATGTACTCTCCACCCTAGCTATGTACTCTCCACTATAGCCAGGTAGACAAAAAAAAATCAACGGGAGTACCGTACCCAACCACCCGGATCTTCTCAAAGGTCACATCATCAGACTGTAGACATGCGAACACACGCTTCACTCACCGACTCAAGCAACCACACAAAATGGCGGTCTCAAGAGTAGGACGATCAAAACTGCCCTAAGAACATAACGTAACATGATCTCATTCTCATGATACTTTCTCTTTAACATGATGCTCCAGTTCCTTTATATGATACTTTGCTCTCTATGATTCATTCTCTTTAACATGATACTTTGCTTTCTATGATTCATTATCTTTAACATGATACATTATAATAATATAATACGTCCTCTTAATATGATCTACTCTCTTTAACATGATACTCTCTAGCATTCCTAAGCTGCAATAACCTATCCCCTTAGGTTATGTTACGTTAGGTTAAGGTGTGGGTATTAGAGAAACCAGGTTAAGTTAAAATGGGAGATAAAGTTAAGTAAAGGTTATGGTAAGTTAGGTTAAATTAAGGGGAAGGTTAATTTTGGTAAGGCGGGTAGGTTAAAATAGGCTAGCTTTGATGGGAGGTTGGGTTAGGACGGGTCAGGTTCGGTAATAAGTAGGTTAGGTTAGATTACGAGTAGGTTGGGTTAGAGGTATGTTAAGTTACGGGTAGGTTAGGTGAAGTGCAGGGTAAGCCAAATAAAGAAATGATGAAGTCTCCCTACTTTGAACGTTTTCTGTTGCTGTACTCAGATTCATTCATTTTCATTACTAAATGTTGAGTTTCATAATGTACCGTCCACAGCTGCACGTTACATACACCTCCCTTACTTCACCCACTTACATCTCCCCAACACCACGGAGTTTCTAAGTGTATAAAAATCACCATAATAAATCATACACAGGCTTCTTGATATATATAAATATGAATAAATGTATAGCAAGTAATAGGCGAGTGACGTTATGAATGCGAGATTTCCTCACCGAGCGAACACTTTCACTAGCCTCCGTCCTTCAGGGGGTGAGCAGGAACACTTTCCGTTATATCACACCACATCAACTCTTGTCTTTGTTTATCGTACACCAACTACCGTTTATGTTTTCATTTATATAGTTAACTAGTTTTAATAATCATATACCAAATGTGAGATTGACCAATAAACAGATGAATTACGTGCTGCACAGGTTCATGATAACGACGTCAGTTACCCGTCTCGTGTAAGTCAGTGATAAGTTAGATATTTTTTTACGGATTACTTGAAGATTAGCGTTCCAAGCATAATTCACCTAAGATTAACCACCCTAACCCTCCCTTGGCCCCTCCTCTCCCACGAAGCGTTCGGTTATTTAATCTTATGGCGAAATAAGCATAGGGGCTAATCTTCACGTGATCTTATACACGAGTGCTAAGATTTTTCTTAAAGTGTACGAAAATAATTTATATGTTATCATTTACCTACATTTTATAGTTGTCCGTATGCTTGAGAAAGTCTCCGTAAAACCACATGAATCCTCACGCGTACGGATTATAATGTACGAGTGAATGTGTGTACGTGTCACTTTCACTAGTAAACGACCCACCAACATACTGGAGGGTATATTACTGGGGTACTGTGCAAGTATGTTTCTAATTCAACACAATCTCTCATTATTACAGTACCTATTTCTCGCCAGGGCAGTATAAACCTACTTGACACATTAACTTAAACACAAACAGTAACGTCCACTGGCAATGCCAATGCAATAAAACTATTAATAACACCTAAACTGACACACACACGTAGCGCCAGCACGGTAACATGTCCAAGCTCACTTTATCCCCCCCCCACCCCCTGAGGCAGACCCATGCAGTTAACCAGTCACCTTAACAGGTCGAAGTGGTGGTGACTGGTATCATCACTATCTCCACCACCATTAATCCAATATCATTATTCTACCACCACGACTATCACTCCATTACCACTACGCCACCAACACTTCACCGCTGAGTCACAAGACCTTCGTCCGGCTCAATAAAAAATGTTGTCACTCGCATTCTTTACTCAAGGGAGAGCTCCTCAGAGCTGTGTAGGACTGACTTACCGTCCTAACAGATGACAAGAAAACCTGTCTAACTGGTTCACTTCAACTGCTCAACGTTCATAATAAAATGTTTCCTCCAATAAATGTGAGAACGCTTTAAACTGTTTCAACTACTCTTGAAAACAAAGATGAACTGACCTTTAAATAAGCGATGATTTAATTCAATAGTAGTGAAACGTCACATCATGGACTATACAAAGCTGGACAGGAATTGGAGACTTAGCCAATCAGAATGTGAAGCCAGTGGGCCTTGCTTCACAGTGGGCCTATCACAATATGGTGTAACCCTAGACACGCCCAAGTGACTCAACAGTCTCCTGACATTTGACACTGTCCTCTTAAGTGTATTAAGTGGTGGAGCGGGTAGTGATAGAAGGGGGGCAGCAGGAGCCTTGCAGTATGTCATAAGAGCCGTAATCCACCTCCTCTAACCCCCTGTCACGTAATGGAACAGTAACCCTTCCCAGCCACTCCACCACCTCTCCCGGTCAACCCCTATCACGTAATGGAATAGTAACCCCTCCCGGTAAACACTAGACCTAACAGATGGGGGACCTTCATGTTATGGTACAGTGACCTCTCCCCATTGGTCAATACTCAACCTAACACGTGTGAACACTCAGTACACTCACATCTTCAGTCACACGCATATTACTTAACGCAGCAACACCAAACATCTTCAGCATTTACAGATGTTATTCGTCATGTACACATCACATCAAACTTTACTTACCTTAATCATTTTCCTAACCTAATCAAACACATTCCTAACCATACCACATGAATGCTTAACCAAATCCAATCAATTCTCTAACCAAACAACCAAAATCAACCTAGAACACCTAACCTAAGCCTTAACTTTTCTATTTCTCCAATAAGTCAACAAGATATAGTGATGACATTTTTACTCGTAGATTATAATACAGAATATGTGAGTTGATTGTCGCACGCGCGCACACACACACACATCCATAGACGCGCGCACACACACACATCCATAGACGCGCGCGCACACACACATCCATAGACGCGCACACTCATCCATACACACACGCGCTCATCCATACACACACACACACATCCATAGACACGAGCACACACACACATCCACAGACACGCGCACACACATCCAGAGACACGAGCGCACACACACATCCATAGACGCGCACACTCATCCATAGACACGAGCACACACACATACACAGACACCCGCACACACATCCAGACACGCACACACATCCACAGACACCCGCACACACATCCACAGACACGCACACACACATCCAGACACGCACACACACACATCCACAGACACCCGCACACACATCCAGACACGCGCATACATAATCAGACACGCACATACATAACCAGACACGCACACATACATCCACAGACACATGCGCGCGCACACACACACACACGTTAACCATTAATCACTACAACTAGCAGGTATAATAACCATAATAAGTCGATACATCAATGGTACTCGACACACACCCCCACACTGTAGAAGCAAACCCTGACACCTGTTCACTAATTAGACTCAACTTGACCATTAATCTTCCCAGCGTCCTCAGCAACTGTCAGCATTTTTAGTGGCAGCTGCTCAGTCAGTCACATTACATCAATAATCATCAATTTGATTTCTTCTAATTATGAGTTAACCATATATATATTTTTTTTTCATAATTACTTAGCATGTTAAAGGTTTGAGGTTTATGGACATAATGGTGTACCAGTTTGATTTAGCATCAGTTCTAATGGTCAATAAGACTGGTGTGTGTGTGTGATGACTGGGGCCCATTAAGACATAGCGTATGTGATGACCGGGGCCCATTAAGACTTAGTGTATGATGACTGGGGCCCATTAAGACTTCTAGTGTGTGATGACTGGTGCCCATTAAGACTTCTAGTGTGTGATGACTGGGGCCCA